CCCCTCGCGCACACACACACACACACCCAGCCCGACCGTCTCTCGCCTGCCTCGCCTTCGCTCCTACTCTCAGACTGATTTCGTCCGTCGCCGGTGCGTGTGTGCTATTACGGTAAGCACCGCAACCCTTTATTTCGCTCACCGACTTGTCCATGCCAATATTGTGGTCTTCTAAGTCGTTATTAATGTCTGACGTTGTGCCTATGTGGGCTACACGTAGCCTGCTTGTAGCGCGTGTGCTTGCCCTCTGTAACCTGTCGAATAATTCCATTTGATGTTTGTTTACAGACAGAGGTCATTTCCATCAACATGTACGCATTTATCATGATGCTACAAGAGCGTTCCTTCGAGTCGTATCGCCTTCGGGCACCACTGGAGACTGGTTTTCCTGTTACGGTTGGAGGAAAGGTGGGTGTGGTTCTTGGGACGGGATGTGAGTTTGTTTAAAATCTATAATATTTAGTGGCATGCTTCATCAGTTCGCCGTTGACAGTAACTAATGTTGTCTTGTTTCATTTCAGTGACAAGAGCCGAAGCAAAAGCCGCAGGGACAGAATATTACAACAGAGTTTGCAAGTGGCATAACGAATCGTGTACTGACTGGAACTTCAATACGCAAGATGTTGGAGGAAGTGGTGAGTAGAGTTTTGCGTTCCTCTGAATTATCCTATGTGTCCTTCCATTCTTAATCTAAACTCTATTTCATGCTTCATTCACTCAGAACCCAACAGTCCCAGCGACAAAGAAGAAAGAGGAAAGCGGAAGGCGGAAGATTCCCAGGAAGACTCTCCGAATAAGCGTTCCAAGAGAGGAACGGATTGAAGAATCCATCCTCGTATCCTTGTACATTTCTGACTTATCTGTATATATTCTGATGATTATTTTTACTAAAATTGACTAAGTTAGGATAAGTTTTCATTTTATATCAATTTATTTACTTGTTTAGCTCTGTAGTGTTCCAATTGTTTTCTAATTTTTGTGATTTAGTCTTTTAAGTGTCATTATATTCTTAGCTTACTTAAGCTGTCACCTTGCAAATCTACTTTATATTTTGTACAAAACCTAGTAACTTTATTAGTTCTAAATATTTTCACTGGCTTTTACTTGGAAGTGTGTATGATATGCGAGAAAGTGGAAAGCAAATACAGTAATAATCTATTTGATGTTGCCAATGATGTTTCTTGTGTGTGCCTTGTATCCTGATATACATATTACTCCCTTAAGGGATAATGGGAAGAGCATTGAGTTTACATAATTTTCTAAATTATGCTAGTGTATATTCACCAAAAATATAACTAAGCTTAAATTATTATGGTATGGGTGTGACATTTGAGAAGAACGTATTCAAGGAGGAAGTTAGAAATTACATTTTTGTTGCAAACAGAATAATTTTATTTAGAGACCAAATATAGTAGTTGAATGCATTTTCGGTTGAGTTAGTTTACACATTTTGTCATTGCACATTTTTTTGTTCACTGATTATACATTATGAAGCCATGTGCAGATAAGATGAAGCAGTAATTATTTACAACAATAGCCTAAGTGGCAGTCAAATAATTAAAATTAATAATCAATAAGAAGAGCATTACTCAGCTTCTAAACTATTGACTCGTTCAATAATGTAATGGTGAGTGTCTGCACCATCATTGACAGACAAATAAAAACAAAGACTACGTAGGCTGGACACTGGTACAACAACTAAATTATCAGTCTCACGCACAGCACTCAAGTAAGAAAAAGCTACATTGTCAGGATGCAAATGAGCACGCCAAGCAATTCTATCATAGACTTGAATAACACATAAATACAAAGAAGGTTGACATAGACATAAAATATCACAGTGACAATCAGACCAGCGAATAAAATACTTGATGGATCCTAGACAAGAAATATTATCCATTGTAAAATGTACATGAGAAGATTGTCTTTTAAGAGCTCTAGTGTATGACTCAGCAATATATAAAATACCCTTCACCCACAACCTAGAGAATAACTGGCAATGACCACCTCGAATATTCAGACACTCCAGTAAGATTTGTCGTGGTGGTACAAGAAGGTGGTTGAATTTGCCAACAACATGAACACCTGGACTTATAACCTCAGCTATCTTAAAGTTTTGGCCAAATTTGTTGACTTTATGACAAAACTGGCGGGCAGGTGAAAGAAGATTTAATGATGAAATTAAAGATTCAAGTTCTTGCATTTTAGTGGTTGCTGAGGCAATCTGAATACCAACATGACTAGTCCCATGAATAAACTTGCAAATCTTACCATTTAGATCTTCCATGAAGTAACAGGAGTATACCCAGAGTGGACCTAAATCATCCACACACTGAGATAAATGAGTCAGCTGATGTACATTAATGCCCATAAATCGAAGATCATACAAAACTTCAAATTCTAAAACATACTTATTTAATAAGAGAGAAGCTTGATTAATTTGCCTTGGAGATATACTCTGTTGACTTAGAAGAAACACAGCAGAAACAAGAAGCATGTGGTGATTTAGATATAGATCTGACATAAGGCCAGATAAAACTGGAATAGAGTAATAAAACAACCACACTTTAAAATCAAGTGATTTCCATGAACTTAAATCAGACACAGACTGAGAGAACTTATTTAGAAAGCTTGGTACTTTAAATTCTTTCAACCGAGCATTAACACTATCAACAAAGTGATGTAATGTGAAGTCTCTCTCTTTGTGATCGGAGTGAAACCAAAGTTCCAACAAAGCCTTTCCTAGACCTGAGAAAACTCCATGCATTGCATCAATAGCTGTAGATCGTATGAGGTCAGACACCATACGGTACAAAAGGGAAACACCTTTAACACCAAAACAAGGAAAACCAGAAGCGATTGCTGTTCTCCCATGCAGTTGAACAGATTCATTGCTCCTTAAGGGAACATTAGGAGAGTGCCTATACACATGAACTGTGGTGCCATTGTACTGCTCACCTTTTTGCAAACACCTGGGACACCCGTAAAAACCATTAAACTGCTTAATACGCAAAAAAGTGCTTTTAGCTGGCATGTCACATGTACCACATAACATTACTCCTTTCACAAGAATTGGAGGGCCATCAGGGCGATTAAATACGTGGCCATTATGATAAAAGTCTTCCATTCTGTTGAAGAATGGTTCTAGAAAGGTGTTAGCTTTTGGTTTTTTCTTGCCAAACCAGATGCCAGCCAATATTATGTTCTCTTTTTTAACCCTCTTGTTATACTTTAACTCATTTATAACTAAATATAAAGGCCAGATACTAAA